CTGAGTGGGCCGGACCCCTACATAGTCCAAACGGGCCGAATTGGCCGAAGTATTAACAAACTAAACGAATGGGCTTGATAAATAATACGAAGTACTCCGTATAATATAATCGGTTTCTAATTGTGTAGCGTCAAGATACTCCATCCGTCTAAAACTTTACCCCCCAATTTAATTTTTTCTAATAAAAATAGATGAATTTTGAGTTTCGATAAAATTAAAAATGCAGTCCCTTCGTTCTAAAATATTCATCCCGAGTTGACTTCAAATAATACCCCTCCTCTGAAAAACTTAATTCAAATCCAGTTAAAAGAAAACCTGCAATCTATTTGTTTTAAAAAAACCTACACCACCAAAATTTTTAACGCCCAATTCTTATGTTTAAGACTCCACCAGAAATAGGATATGTTCTTTCAACTTCTCTTCAAATTTGATTCGTTGGATGCAATTAGATGCAATAAGAGATCCTTGTAGCATACAGGGAGTAATGTATTGTTTTCATAAGAATAAATTTTCGTTCAATAACATGCTATAATTACTCAAAGTTTAACACAATGGACTAGGGAGTAAAAAACCCCCAACTATCAATAGCAAAAAACCAAAAAATTTAAAACAAAATCTTGGAATCTTAATATTTTAAGACAAATGTTCTAAAGAACATTTCACATTCTTCATGTTCTAGCCTTCTAAGAAGTGTAAAAGTTGAGGGATAAAGCAAATAGAGCTAAGACAGAAGATTGATGAAAAACTGAATGTCTCCCTTAGATTGATCAGAAAATTATAATGCCAAAACTCATTCAACAAAGTCTACATATGGATAAAAGAGCATAAAGTTTGGGCAAGAAGAGAAGTTGAGGGAACTCTATCCCTTACAAAGTACAAAACAAAAATTATAACACTGAGAAAGGGGTAAAAGAAAGTAGCAGCTGAGCTCAACTTGGTCTAAGGGTCGGCAATTGTGACCTCAACCTCAACCCCGGGTTCAATGGTGATTGAGGTGATTTGTTTCACGACATCGGGGGAACTGAATAGGTCAATGACACGCTTGTGCACCCTTAGCTCAAATCTGTCCCACGTATTGGTTCCTGTCAAAAATAATAATGATGATGAAATTGTTATAATCTAAAACAAGAAAACAAGGAAACCCCCACAAAAAGGCCTGGGAGGGGGAGGGGGGAGAACAAGGCTGTTTCCAAAAGGTAGTTATGATCTATCATTTCTAAATTTGTTGCATTTACTAATCATTAAATTTGAGAAGCTTTGGTAGGGGTAATCAGAAAAGAAATGTGGATATCATATCTTGAAGTGCAAAAAAGAGCATCATTTTGGGACAAAGATTTAAGGCAACAGAATGACAAACTATTAGCGAAAGCCTAATGTAGTATATATCATCATTAGAAATTACAACCTCATAACACATGAGAAAAATAATACCTTCTCCACATGGAGACTTTCTTGTGGTAATATGAAGAACCTTGGTGGGAATCCTCACTGGTCCTTTAACACGGAGACTTTTATCTTTGGCTCCACGCACCAAATCAGCACATACTGTAAAATTGATTTCATAGCAAAAACCACCAATTTAATCAGTACATTCAGTCATATAGTGTTACCACATAATACTGTCATGAATTGAATGAAGAATAAAGTCTTTTGCTACAGCTGAATCTACCAATAAGCAGACAACATCACAACACAATGTGTGTTCTTATTAACTACTCCTGAAAATGTTCTTCCCATTTGACTTTAATATTAATATATTCCTATCGAAACACAGTGCAATTTTGGAGACCATGAAAAGTCAAATAGGTAAAATTTTGGGAGTAACATTTTCTTACTTGTGTTCATAGCTTCTATGATTTAATGAAAATCCACTATCACCTAAATTGTTGAAATTATGCATTTTCAATATAAATACGAAGGCCTACACATTAGACATACTGTAACTGTGGGCATCAAAACTTGAGACTGAGAATGGTATTTTCAGAAAATACTACTCGCTCCATACCAAAATAAGTTTTCAATATTCAAAACCCAAACTACTTTCTATACATATTTTTATTGATCATTAGATAAACCGAAATAGTGAAGTCATCACTTCTTTTGTAAACCTTGATGTCATTTCATAATGCTTGATTTCATTTTAAATGTATACAGAGTATAATTTTATTTTTTTAATCATACACTAGTTTTTAAATCTACTGACTTCAAAATAACTTTGGTCAAAGGTTTTACACTAAACCGGATTTGGGACAACGGGGCAAAGATAAAGAATACTAACACCTTGTTTGGATGAAGTGATGAGGTTTAGACCATTTCTTACACTTCCTTTCCATTTCATCTCATCACGACAAGAGTAAGGCATCTTTCTCATTACTCAATTTCACTAGTGCACAACCTCAACATTTGTAAGATCTTAAGTTAATAAGTATGATAAAAATACCCTTCTCGAGATTTTTGACATGCTTTGAGGAGAGTGTAATTCTGATCTTGTGCTCCTGCTCCTGAGGTTCTTCCAGCCCAGGCTTGGTTGACTTCGGAGGCTTGTAAGCCATATTTAGGGTTTTCTCACTCCCAAATATACAATAAAAATCCCTGTCACCAGAGGCAAATTTCAGACTAGTATGAGAGTTTGATAAAAAAAATATATAAAAGTTTTCATTTTCAGTCGCCAATAGCTTAATTGTCCTAAAAAAAAGACATGATGCCACAAAAACGTTCTTTTGAAACAGCATTTTTTACATTTAGCTTTGGAACTCAAATGACAAGATATTGCAAATAACAACTCATGATTTTTGTTATGTGTGCGTGCATATAAACTAAAAATCAAGATCAAACTTTGTAATTTCAGAATATAAAAAAACACATAGCGGCAAAGAACATGTATTATTAAAATTTTGGAATAATACTACTATCTGCATATTTGCTTGGTTATCTATTAATTCGGAGTGAGTTCATTTAAATCTCATTGTAACCTGATTAATATGTACTCGTAAAAGTTCGATCCTAACAACTGGACGAGACAAAAATTAACGATAAAATACTGATCCAGAAACTCAGTTTCACATCTGGAAAAATGAAACAGTAATCCAAAAATTGAGAAAATCGACAGTCGAATACTAGAAGGATTGAAGATCTGAGCTTGGAGATCGGAGATACCTGTGGCGGAAGCACGAAGAACCCTGGAAACTGGAATGGGAGGCCGGCAAGAGTCGAAGAGAAGGTTTTATACTCTTTTCAGGGTTAGCGGAAAGAATTAGGTATGGGCTTGAGTCCACTTGTAAATTTAAAGTGATAACCAATTAACGGCCCAAATATGCATCTCAAATAAGGGAGTATCCATTTGTTGGATGATTTTTTTTCGGGTAAAGCTATTTGTACCCCATGTTTTGTACCCCACTTTGTACCCCGTAGTTTTGCACCAACACTTTGTGTTGGTGTAAAACTAATTTTTATTAATGCACCAACACTTTGTGTCCGTGTAAATTTTTGTTAATGCACCAACACTTATGTTGGTGTAAACCATCAAAATGTTTGTGTATAACTGCAGTGTACAAATGAGGTACAATTTGTGGTGTAAGTGTAGCATAACCCTTTTTTTCCTGAATCTCATAGATTTTGTTAATTATTATACGGTACATCCTTATATTTTCATCAATATTATTCGTCTAGTTGGAAATTTCTTAATGACATACAGTATCCATTAAATTGTCAAATTTATAAGTATTTTTTGTGAAAAATGGTCAATGGTCTTATTTGACATCAGCGTTAAATTTTAGCGTTAGCGTTTTGAAAATACTATTTGACAGTAGTATTCAAAATTAATCTTCACCGTTTAAATTTTATCCAAAGCGGTAACGCAAAACAAAAACACTGTTCCCAGACAAGGCCAATATCTATAAGTGATGTCACTAAAAATGTGTTAGTGTATATTAAACTTTGTTTTCATTTGTTAATAACTTCTTGGTGATATCCAAAAGCTTTGTCCAATATTTGGATAAGTAAAAGTGAATGTGCTTGGTGATAAAAAAATTTCTTTTGACGAAAACACATGGCAAAATGGCTACTTCGTATTAAAAATGTTTGATGAACATTTTTTTCTTATAGCTTCTTCGTCTTATAAAAGTGAATTACGGAGTACAAGTTAAAAGATTCTATCTCGAGAATCTCAACTTTTTGACCTACAATTTTTTGAGAGTTTATTGCGCCAATATCTTTCGTGTTTTGGTAAATATGCACCGTTACCTTTCATGATTTCAAAGCTTACATTGTTGCTCATGTGATTCTAATATTCTTACGTCAATACTTTTTTAGACTAAAATACCCTTCAAATATTAAATGAACAGCTCCGTTGTCCCTTATGGTTTTGAAAATGTACACCAACACCTCTCCTTTTTTTTAATTTCTTTTCTCTTTTCTTTTCTTTTTTTCTTAAAGAGAAAAATGTTTGTGTTTGAAATAATAAAAAGTAAACTATTTTTCAAAAAAAAATGTTTTAAAAACTAAAAACTATTTGTGAACTACGGAGTATCTTAAAACATTCAAACATTGACACAAATATATAGTTCATCATATGGAATAACCTTTTCTTAATCAATTGATGATGAAGATTGAAGATGCCAAAGATAGAAACATTTAGGAAGCAAAAAATATCACTTAGTACCTAATGTCCTCATAAACAAGGATTAAGAGTAAAACATCAAACGAGTTTAATAAAATTTAGCATTCATAGAGTAACTCCTATCACTATCAACTTCAAAATTGAAAGCCAATTTTTCCCGTGATTGATCTAGGGATGTAAACGAACAATATCCAGATAGAATACGCTATGACCTATCTGTATATGTTTCTATCCGAATTCGCATCTCAATCCAACATATAATTGCAGTGTTAAATCCAATTCCAATATATTTTTTTCCCATAAATGCAAATGAAGTACAAAAAAAAAGAGGAAAAGATCACTTTAACTCTTAGGGTGAGACCGAAATTGATACACATTATCGATAAAACAATGGTAGTGTCAGCATTAATGTCATTCATGGTGTGACAATAACATAGATCAAAAGAGATGCCATCCCCGCACAACAAACTAGGGGTCTACATATATAAAAAACGTTCAAAATCACAAAAAAAACACGGGAAATTCTACTTGCTCTACAATTGATAATCTGATGAAGCAAAACTCAATGTCAAAATATAGCAATACTACCAAAACATGAGTGCTACAGGGGAAATTACCATAGACTGGTAAATGTTGTTGCAGTTTCTAGCCTGTAGCAGCTCTGTGTTGCTGGTTGATATCTTCACTGTCCATCTCTTCTGCATCCTCAAACCGATTATCGTTGATTTGAAGCTGCAACAAAAAACAAACATCAAAATCACAACTCCATTTTTCACATCAAAATCAATGGAGAGAATCCTCAATCCCAATCCCAATCCCAGACAGATAAACAGATGCACGTTGAATTAGTTAGCATTTTAGCATGAAATGCGACAGGCACCACTACCAGTATATGAACAGTACAAAACTCCTACATACTCTGTAGTATACTCCCTCCGGTCCTAAAAACATGAGATGTTTCTTTTTTCATCCCTCCAAAAAACACTTCTTTCTATTAAAAAGTCACTTTTACCCCTTACTTTTTCATACTCTACCTATCACATCATACCTTTTTAATAATAACCTATCAATCAAATCTACTTTTACCCATCACATCAAAAGACATTTTTGGAAATTCAGTACCAAAATACACTCTTAAATCTCTTCAAAATCAAAACATCTCATGTTTTTAGGACCGGAGGGAGTATGAAATACACACACGTGCTGACCCGTTCCGGATCCATTGGGCAGAGAAAAACACACTCCTATTGGGTTTCGGGTTAGGTAACACAATGCAGAAGTTTGATATGGACCTAAGGCCTAAAAGGATACCTGAAGCACTGTATGAGATAAGTCATCCCCATTAGAACAACCAATTGAATTGGATCCATTCTGTAAAACCATCCATTCAGATTCATCATCGTCTGCAAAGTCAGAAAAAAATGGCCCATGGTAAACTGGTTACGGGACAGAGAGCAAACCATGAACTGGACAAAAAAAAAAGAAATCCTTTAAGATTATGCCTGCTGGTTCATTCTGTAACTGATCAGCACTAAAAATCCAATTATGCTCTTGTTCTTCCTCTGGAGAAGCAAATATAGAAGCGAGTTTATTCAGGAGAAGGTATGTGTGGAAGTGAACAGAAGAAAAACTACAAGAGTCGATTAAAAATTGTACTCCGTAATTACCTTCAATTGGCTCAGGGTTTAGCTCGGCACATTCACAGAAGATCTCAAATAGCTCCTCCACTACATGATACCCAAAAGAGAATGAAAGTGACGTCAGTCAGATTCACTGAAAGCATGAATATGATATAGCACATAATGATGATGATGATGGTGCAAACCAAGAAGAACTGAAACACATAGGAAGAGAATAGATGCATATCACCTTGATTAGAATCTGATGGAACAAGCCTAAACTCTGTAATCCTTGACAACTCTAATGTTTCATTAGGATCAGAATCAGAACTGCCTGACTCATTATCATCATCATCCCCATTATCAATCTTCAAGATTCAAACAAAAAAAGTTCATCATTACTCGATATATATTGCGGAAATAAGCAAATGTGGTGAAAATGTGAACATTTCTCATGGGCAAATAAAGGGGAAGGGTACTATATTGTTGCAGATTAAGAAGCACTAAAATACATTTATAAGAAAAAGGCAAGAACTCAAGGTCATGTGGTTTAGATTAGTTTCAGAGTTATTTCACGAAGCAAAATTCATTTTTGAAAGTTGATTGCTGCATTTCATCAAACATAAAAGCTAATTTTTAATCTGTTAAGTTTCAAGGGAGGATGTTGAATAAAAAATCCTACTCCGTAGTAGATACTACCTTGTACACCCACCCCCCCCCCCTCCAAAAAAAATTGGCATAGAATTTAAAAATAAAAATGGTATATATGAAAACCACATCAAAGTTCTACAAAATAAGTGTTGGGTTGACCATATAAATTTAATAAAATGATCTATGAAATGCATGAAGAAGAAAATGTAGTTAGACTTTGGAATAGTAGAAAGAACTCTTTTTTTGGGACCGGGGGAGTATAAACTATGAAAAATAAATTATGTTACCTGGGCATATATGCAAGGAGAAGGGTAAGCCTCAGGATCCCTTGAGACGGCATGAAGTGAAATGTGACAGAAATCGACCGCATACCCTTTTTCTTTGTCTGTATCGCTCAACCACACCACTTGCCTGCAAATTTTACCAATACAGATCGAAATAAAAACTGAAACAAGAGGAGCATAAATCATATAGATTACAGACATGGATTATGAGAAGGGATTACCTGGTAGTGACGTAAAGAGTGCCCGGAGATAGAGGAGGGTGGTTGCCGAGCACAAGAGAGACGGCCGGTAGGGCGTGCGCGAGTTCCTCGCCGGTGCCGGCGTCGAGGACTGGTTCTCCGGCACTAGTTCTGACTGTCACAAGTCTCAATCCGGCCATTTCCCGGCCAATTCGGAGCTCCGATTGCTCCGCGAGTTGCTTATTGTGTTAGGGTTTTGCTCTGCTCGGGCGCGCCAAAAAAGAGTAGTCCACTCTTTGCGTTTTTTTGTGTTCGACTCGATTTATTTGGCTCGGACCTAAAGCCCCTACTCAATCATATTTGAGTTTTGTGTTTTAAAATAATTATTTAATGATATTATTAAATTAATTTTAATTCTATAAATTAATTTATGTAATTAAAAAACTATTTAAAATACTACCGAGTAACATTATTTGTAATTGATTTCTCCAAATGTGGCTTAAATCCACATCTTAAATATTCAAATTTATTTTTTGCATTTAAATTTATTTTTTATCAATGAAAAAGGGCACAAGCGAGTCAGACATCTCTAACTAATATCTCAAATCCTTCGGTTGCTTAGTAATCAACTCTTATTATCGTGATAAGCAACATTAACATCCCCTGGAGAGGAGAGAAAGATAGTTAAAGTATTATCGTCAGCAATATATACTATTCTCTTCTCTCATGACATGGATAATTTTCATGTTCCAATTCGTACGAATCACCCGCGCCACTTGCATTTCTGAATTTCATTTTGAATTGGCCTTCCAATATCATAATTGGACTCTTCTTCAATCCAATCCATTAGCCACTCGAGTCACAATGGATGCTAACATTCATCAGATTCTTTGACCAAACTCATTCAAGATCTTTGAGGATCATCATGACTTCAACTTGCTCTACACGGTTTGCCTGAAAGTAGAAAGTAAAGCTAGAGAACCATTTCCTTGCCAATTTCGGATTGATCCTTCATTTCCAGAATAATAATGAACACACAAATTTTTAATGTCCTTTTTAAAACTTGTGAGAAAAATATTTCTTGTGTTCTTAGAGCATACACAATACCAAAGCAAATCATTATCTTGCCCTGCCTTTAATGGAGTGGAAGATATTACACTGGGCGTGGAAAAAATTTATATGTATGGAAAGAGGCGAGGCACTCCTATTTTCGTGGCAGGTGCGAGCCAAATTTCTGGTTGAGAATACAGGGCAGATTGGACTTTCCTCTTCTTTTTCTTTCTTTTTAAAGAGTTTTTTTCGTAACCTTCTTATCCACTTTTTTTGAAACCTTCAGTCTTGCATTTTTTTCTTTCCCATTTTTTTATCTAAAAATAAAACCCCCTTACTTAAAAAAATAAAAATAAGTATAAAAACCCCCTTTTAAAAAATCTCATAACCCTTGTTTCTAAAACTAAACATATGCGAGTGTATTTTAAAATTAACATTTATCCAAGACTACACAATTTATATAGATAATTAAATTAATTTTGAATATATAACTCATATAGATTAAACTATACATTAAAATGCATATAATTAAAATGAAGTAAAAATAAAATATACACGGACTAATTAAAATATGTCAAAAAATGTAAACATTGAGAAAAATAACGACTCGTCACTGCAAAGCATGCCACTCCACTGGAATGCCACTGCGTGACAAGGCTGTTTTCTATTGCTTTAACTGTGATATGTCAGTGTGTGACATTCTTGAATATGCCTTGTCATTGTTCATGCTATTAAAAAAATGCATTGAGTTACTTTAACAGATTTTAAAAACAAGTGAATCGTAGATGTTTATGCAGATGAAAGAATAATAATCAATTACTCATTTATTTTCTTAAATGGAATAAAACAATTATCTTGGGATATCTAAATAAGGAAAAATAAGACATTTTTTAAAAAAAGGAGAAATTACTTAAAAAAAAAAAGAGACATACTTTTTCTTTATTCCATGAAACGGAAGGGTACAATAATTTTGAAAATGAAGAATGATTACTTAAATCTTTTGGTCCGTCAAAATAAATTTTACACTCCGTTTTTTTTTCTTTTATGAAAAAATACGTTATTCGCAATTTTTTCATCTCACAAAAATTTTTCTATCATTTATTTTTAAATTTCCAAATTGCAACACTTTTATTAAAAATTGTGATTTGCAACAATGAATATTATTAAAAGCAGATGATTATGTTAATTTGGAATATACTCTGTAACTCCCTACCTATCAATTTGATCCAATTTCCTTTAATTTGTAGAAATCACTTTAAATATAACTAAAACATACTGAAAAATACCAAAATATGACTTTTATGTTTTTTGTCAAAATAGGACTTTACACTGTGGTAATGTGATTGTAATGTGACACTGTATATGTGCACATTACTATACTTTTTGGTAATATACATGATCATGTTTGGTAATGTAAATGCATTTTAAGTCCTATTTCGAAAATAAAAAACATAAAAGTCTTATTTTTGATATATATTTTCAATGTTTTAGTCCTACTTTTGTCTTACTTCCTTTAATTTTGGGTCATCATGCAAATTTTTTTCCTAGGTTGAAGGCAAAACAAACTTCAACGATCTCAAACAACCTCCACACCCTTAGTGGTATTTGATATTTATATCTCTCTTTAACTTTCAATTTCTCATGAAATTCTCCATTATCACATGTCTCATTTATGGATTGAACTAGATAAAGATTCCCAACTCATATATATATCTTAATCATCATATGAAGTATATCTATCTAATTTACTTTGAGCCTGAAGTATAATTTAGTTAATCAATTCTATGTACTATTCATACATTAAACGTACAACAACTATTATTACAAACTTGATGAAATTCTACAAAAATATGATCTCAGAACGAAATGCAAATCTTGAGGATGTAGTCATAGGGATTGTGGGAGTAGAATAACACAAGGAGCAACTATAATGGTGGCCAATATAAAATTTCCATTTTGTGCATGAATATAAGTACAATCAGTCGTGATATTTGGCTTGTCTTTTGCTTGTTTGTTCTATTTGTCTATCTCCAACAAAAACTAGAGTTGCCACTGCAGCTGTACACACACACACAGAGAAATTGACATACTTATATGACCAAAGTAACATGACTCTAGTATAATATGTCACTTTGTTCTCACACAATAAGTGGCTAACAAATATTTTATATTGTATGCGTGAGAGACCTAACAAAAGCTAAGACTTGGGGACCTTCACTGCATGATCTCACAACAAATATGATACTACCTCCGTCCCATTTTATAACGCCTGTTTCGGTTTACGATGTTTGACTGAAATTATTTTCAAACCATTTTATATGACAAATGGTATAGAATTAAAAAATAAAAATTACATATTAAAAAACTACATCAAAAGATCTACAAAACTAGTAGTGACAATAATATTTTATTTTATCAAATTGCTAACGAAAATAGAGAATGAAAGTAAATAAAGTTTGACCCTGTGAATAGTAAACAGACATTATAATTTGGGACGGAGGGAGTATATGATAAGATCTAATGTCGTTATTTGATCTATATGTATCCAACCTCATCTTGTAGGATACGGCTTTGTTGTCATTGTTGTGCGAGCTAAGCTACTGCTCATGAGACTAAATTATTTAGAATAATTTGAATTTAATTATTTTTTTTAGGAAAAATGAGTTTTATCAAAGAATTAGATAATGAATAACTAAGTTGTTCACTGTTCACTCCAAATGAGCGAATTTAAATTTTGGATTATTCTTTCTTTTTTAGTACAAATTTTACTGTAAATGAAATGATGAATTACAAAATACTACTTCCATTCCAGAATATTCAATCAGTTCAGGATTTTTTAATCAAAATGAATAGATGTTGACCATCGATATTCAATTAAATAAAAATTATATTACATTTTAGTATGAAAATGGTTTCATTAGCTTTATGCCTTCATCTTGTTAAAAAATTTTAAAAATTATTTCTGTATTAATATGCAATATAATTTTTATGTACTTGATGATTATATTTTATTTAGTTTAACGTGAAAAAATGGTCTGTTTTAGTATTATTAGTAATAATTTTACCTGATGATGTGATAAATGTTTGACCCGCGTGATTTATGGCTTTCCCCACCGAATGAATGCGAACCCGAGCAATTTTCTGATCATAATCAAACATTTAATTACGTCATTAAATTGTTAAAAAAAAGTCATTAAATAGTACTCCCTCCGTCCTATAATGATCTTTCCGGTTCGCAAAACGAAGAAAAATCCCAAGTTTTTTCAATCTATTTTATTTAAATATTGGTATAGAAATAAAAAATAAAACATACATATTTAAAAACTATACCAAAAGTTCAACAAAACAAGTGGTGACAAGAATATTTTATTTTATCATATAGGCCATGAAAAAACACAAATAAATATAAATTCTCGTGAAATTGGAATAGTGCTCTGGGAAGATCATTATAGGACGGAGGGAGTATTATTTTACGAAAGAATTGAGACATTGATTAAACTTATATGAGTTATTTACTTAAATATGACTAAAACATAATGATTTTCTCAATATAAGATCATATCTTTTTATTTTCCAATGTAGGACCATTGGTCATTATCTATTTGTCATTATTCAACTAAATGTCCAGCATCACTTGGACATTATTCTTCTCACTAGACATTATTAAGTCTTATTTAAGGAATAAAAAAGTTTAAGTCCTATATTAGGAAATGACTTAGAGCAACTCCAAAGGGAAAAGGTAAATTGAGAAGGTATTATGCTCATTTACCTTCTTAAAAAGGTAGATATACATATTTATAAAATTCTTGACTCCAATGGAAGAAGGTAAATACTCCGTATATGTTTTCCAAAATAAACTTATTTTAAAGAAACAGAAGAAATTGGTATACCTCTCCAAAATTGAGGAGGTAAATATACCTCTCCATAATTAAGGAAGGTATAATATCTTCTCATTTACCTTCCCCATTGGAGGATAAACTTATGTATAGAAAAGGTAAATTTGACAAATATTGTTCTTTACCTTTTGTTTTACCTCTTACATTGGAGTTGCTCTTACGGAGTATGTTCTAGTCATATTCAGTGCAAATTTCACACATTCCGTCTATTGTCTCAAAGCAATTTATCGTTTAGAAAAAAGTAAAAACTACTCCATATAAAATTTGTTTGGATGTGGGAAAAATCTTGTGACTTTTGCGAACATATGCTCATTACTATAAAAAAAATTAAATTGAAAAATATTTTTTTAAAAATCTAAAAGAATATGAGTCAAGTCCTCGTCCACATAAAGACCCTTAACCTTGTGGGACTTAATTTTTTAAAGGTTTTATAAAAATATTTTTTCATATGTATATTTTTATATATTAATAATCAAAATATAACTCGGTACATTATAAAACTTAATTTTAATATGTACTAAATTTGAGACAAGAAATATTATTTAAGTTAAAAATTAAAAGGACTTAATGTATACGGAGTACTAGTATTAAAATGTCACTTTTTTGGTAAGTTAGACTTTTTATGATTGAAATATAATTTAATTATTATGTAAATTGTGAAGGCAAACTTTTACTTCCTCGTCTCAAAATAAAATACAATATGATTATGTAAATAATTGTATACGAAATTTATTTTGGTACCAGAAATCTCATAGAATAAATAGACAGGGAGTTGGTATATAATTTACCAAAGGAACGCCGATGGAAATAACGGCAAGGACGGCATACTTTGCTCCTTCAAGAAGTGCCTCTACAAATAGTTCATTAATTAATACAAATATTGGTGAATTTTTTTAAAATAAAATCTTTACACCTAAAAAGTATTTAAAAACAAAATTTGACATAATTATATTATTTAATGAAAAAAATAATCTGTGGCGATATGTAATAAAAGAAGATATAATTTGACCTACAGATAGTTACTGCAAAATTCATTGAAGACGGGTGGAGTAAAAATTTAAATTAAAAATTATATTTACACCACAATTAATAAATAAAAAAAGATGCATTCATGTACCTCTGACGACTTCTTGGGCCCTTGTGGAACTTGAGGACGACGCCATTCTTAACTCAAATTGATTAAAGGATTTTTTATAAAAAATTTATTGAGAAATTTGCAAATAGTGTTTTAGAGAAATAAAATAAAACATTTTTCAATTATTTAGTTACTATAATGGTCATAGCCATTCACGTATATGAGGCCTACCTGTTTTATCGACATTAAATAGAAAAATTCTTTTACCCAATCATCCGGATTTGCATGTCCTTCATTCTTTATTTGTCGGGTTCACATCATCTTATGTCGTGCATTTTCTTTGGATCCAAACATTATAAGTGATCTAATAATCCATTAATAAATAATTATTTTTAAATTTTTAATAATACAAACTTTGAACATTCAACCAACAATATAACCCAAACTTCAACTCAATGAAGTACACATTTGACTTCAAATAACTGTGGTGGGAGCATGCATTCAATATAAGTATTTCTTTTTCACAGGGACAAAAAAGTAAATGCAGAAAGTGAAATTATAAGATTAAAAAAAAGGAATAATGAGAAAAGCAGAATTCTCAAACTGATAACAAATTGTCAAGCAACACAATTGCAGTCCATTACATGACAACACTTGGTTCAACAAACATTTCCCATCAAAGAGAATCTTTAATTTATCAGAAGCTAATCCACTCCCTAGCTGCTAAAGCCTTAAGCCACAAGAGTGCTTGCTGTGGTGGATTCACTGCATCATACAAAAGGAAGAACACAATTAATGGTGCTTTGGATAGGGAGTGAGTTGAAATTCTAAGAGTAAATAAGGGTAAACGAGGTATAATGATTACTCCCGTGGCAATAAGAAAATAATGCGTTGTTAATAAAACATACGGAGTACTATTGAAATTATGTCCATTTGCAGCATATTTTTGTTCCATAAAAGATGAAATTGAAGTAATTATACCGAGGAGGCATACTAATGCTTTAGCACAATTGAGCAGAGCAGTACAAAAAATGGCACTGAATTCATCGACACGAGGATAGACAGGATGTAGGACTCAATAATAGTCAAATCCAGAGACAACAAAACTTACAAATAAGTAAACATGTCATTAACATTAAAATTATATTATCACATTCCAATTCAGTCAGAAATATACATATAAATGGAACAAAAGTAGACAGCTAAGAAGAGATGAATAGGACTTACTATTTCCACACAGGTGGGAGCTTCTTAGTCTTCTTGTAGTAGCGAGCAAGCCGGTGAATCCTACTCTCCACCAAAATCAGGCGAAACTTGGAGTCCTTGTCTTTCCTGTTCCTTTCCAAATGCTTCCTGATTGCTACAGCCTTCTTGATTAAGTGGTAAAGATCCTCCGGAATCTCAGGAGCAAGCCCTACACCCAAACAAATTTCATCTTGAGCTTTGCAGTAATGATAAACAACAAATGCAAGTGAAACTCAGCATCTTAGTGAATGTTCATTCAACCTTGAAAACAGGAATCAGATATCCTTTTTAGACAAAAAACTTGAAAGCTGGTTAGAAATGCTAGGAGCCAGTTTTAGAGAACAAGTTAAGATACAACAGTTGCTGAAATTTTAATAACTGCATAATTACACAGATGAATGCTTATTATATGGATTAAGATATTTGCACCCCAATTAATACACCGCATGTGTGCATATTTATTTTGTGTCAGTTTGATGCAAAAAAAAATTATCGCACTAACACTTTGTGCAAGTGTGAACTGGCAAAATGTTAGTCTATATCTTTGGAATAACTTTGGGGTACACTTCTTGGTGTAATTGTAGCATGGTTGTTATTATATTGTTCTATTAATAAGCACTCGATGAAAACTTCCTAGGGTAGGAAACATAGTTTATTAGTTTCACTAAAAAAAATTGTTTTTATATATTTAAATACAAACATGCCATTTTTGTCTTATCAAAAGAAAAAAATCACAGCAAAACTATAACCAAGCAGTAAAAAATCTTACAGTACATAGCAACCAGAACAGCAAATGCAACACCAAATTATACCTCAGAAATTGACAAAGTAAATGAGAATAAAAATTACCATGTGCCTTGAGGATGCGAAGAATCTTGCTTCCAGTGACACTCTTCACCTGAGCAATTCCATGGGAATCACGCAGAATGACACCAATCTGAGAGGGAGTCATACCTCTCTTGGCAAACTTGCAAATGTTATCTTCCACCTACATCAATTCATTAATTCATTTCATAAATTGAATCATTCACATTCAACAGTCCAGAAACAATCCATCGATAAGGAAACATTGAAATTCATCAAATGCGCAAACCAAAAAAAAGAGAGATTTCACTTGAAAACTTACATCTTGGGAAGAGACCTTGAGCCAACTGGGAGGAGTTCTCTTGTACGGCGGAGCCGATGCGGACATGCCCTTACTGTTATTGGACAAGCAATTGTTAGATCCATGATCAGATCAGTCGTGCATTCGAATAAACAAACACAGTGAAGAAGGATTGATGGAGTGAACGTACCCTTTGCTGTGCATACGACCCATGGCGGCGGCGGAGTTCGGCAATCGGCAGTTCCGCCTCTCTCACTCTCTCAAAACCCTAGCCAAGCACTCGGCGACCTGTCTTTTTGGCTTTATATTGTGCAGATGCCAGATATAGCTCACAAAACAGTGCTAGTAAGCAAAAAAACTCAAAATAGGAATACAACATGTCTAAGAAAATAAAATAAGACCTTTTTTTTATTTTTTTATGTCAAAAAAGTACTTTAGAATGTTAATTATTACGAATGTCAATTATGCCGATATCTAATTTAAAAAATAACAAAATTTTAATATATAATGTCACATTATCACAATATAGTTGTTCTATTTAACCATAAAAAATGACACTTTTATTTTGGAGACAATGGATAATTTTTTACTCATATTTTAGATAATTTCTTTTCTGGTCAATTAGAGAGTATTTTTTTGTACACCGAATTTATTTAAAAATAAACTTTCCATCCCATACTTTTTTTAAATTTCTTTAGAAAAACAAAAGAATGACTCAAAACATTTTTCAAATTGTACCTAGTCTACTTTTAAGTTTTTTGGCAGACAAATGAATTTTTTGTTCGCACATAATATATGTGAAAGATAGATTAGATACCATATAGAATTAGATATCCAAATTTTACTGTTCCAAATTTTAGAGTCCGGATTTAAATATCCAAATTTTATTTAAAACTATTATAGCATCTAGACTTCATATTTTGTACCTCACTCTAGTATTTAATTATAGACTAGAGATTTTAGTTATCAACCTCTCTAGTTGTTAGATTTCAAATTCGATATAATCACTAAAATCTAGATGGAAATAGTATCAATAAAATTGCTGTTTTTATTTAAATATAAATATTTAATATAATGTTCTGTATAAAGTCTTAAAATGAAGGCATACAGCCAAATAATGGGAAGGACAATTTCTAAGGGAAGGAGATTTACATTGCATCCGATTGAATTTAACATATTGTAAGGGAAATCGGATATAGTATGATAAATTTGATAAACATGAATACAATAATATTTACGTGGAAACTAAATCAACTAAAATTATATTTGGGTAAATCTTTTTTTACTGTACCATGTCAAGAAGGATATATTATTCGTATTTCTAGGATTGTACATGTATAATATAGATTCACTGATGAAGCTTGAAACTCAAAAAGAAGATGTGTATGCAAAATGGGAGCATAGAGATGTGAGTAAATTAAGTGTTCTTGCATTGCACAAAGAGAAGTAATGCCAAATTATATAATGTAGTACTATTGTCAATCAAAATGATAATTTAATACAATGCATTTAGCAATAAAAAAAAGTGTTATTATTTTCATCCGCTTTTCACCTATTCCACCCGTGGATGACGTATGGATCAAGTGATGAAGGATGTATGTAACAGGTGATGGATGGGCCGGATAACAGAGGGAGAGCGAATGGGTGGAGTTGATCCAAAGTTGACTCATTGACATTCCTACTTCACGCCAAGTTACCATATGCTCCAGAACTTTGTACCATATGTTCAAAATTTTGTACCATTAGAACAAGAGCGACTTTGCCATTTCTAAAGCTCCAACATGTTGCATAAACATGTAATGTCGGGTATGACACCTTTTCCCCGAGTCCTTGTGATGCCATTCCCCACGAGATCGTTCAATATATCGTTAGGGTCTTTGGCTCCTCCATGCTGCAGTAACTTCTCTCTTAGAGCTGAACCTGTTGCTGGTGAGAGTGGATCCTCTTTGCATATCTTTTCCCATATGCTCGTGGAGAAGCATCTTGCATACAAGTAGCTATAGTAGCCTGTGCCAGTTAACCAGGAAAAGATGTAATCATATGGGTGGGTGTAAATGCATAGTATCTCGTACGAAGCAACAAGAATTCAGAAACGAGTAAGTTGCAAAGTTGAGTTCGATCCCCAAAGGGTTAAATTCAGACTTCTAAAAACATCATTTGAGCAATGAATTTATGAATTGTTTTTTCACTAGTGTCCCTACACACACAAAACCCAAATTTATCCATCTGGTATCTCTACTAATTGTGCATTAATAGTTAAATTAATCCTAGAATTCATCACATAAGTTTTACCTTTTACAGAGTAAATTAAAATTTTAAACCTATAAGAGTTAAAACTAAAAACTCTGAAGACTTCAAATGTTGCACACAATTTGTGAATTGTTCATAACCTCATCCATACATGCACAAAATGCTATTTAAACTTTTTAACTCCTGCACTACATAGTTGTCAATTCGATATTCTAATAATTTTATCGCAATTGGGTTGTTATTGTTGTTGTATTGCAATGCCCTCTCCGTCCCACAAAGATGGTATACTTCCTATATTAAGCATATTGTTGATGCTTTGTTTCAAAGTATATCCCTAATTAACGTGTCTTGGTCAGCTACCCAATTACCATAAGTCCCTAATGATGGATTTAGTCCACCAAAGATACGGCAGTGGGCCGAATACGAAGAATATAAGAATACATGAATTAAGAGAGATGAAATATGAGACCAAAAGCTAGTAGAACTTAGTTGAATATCAAGAGTGAGGTCATTACTCCAATTATGGAGCGATTCTATTTATAGGACATAAAGATGAGGAGCATGGTCCACTATTCATGGAGGTGATTGGGCATAACCGTCCATCATTTCCTTCAATGATGTGAATGCACTACCTACGCCCCTTTGACGGTTAGTGATTGGAATCTACCCTTTGACTCCACATGCCTGAGCATGTGAAGGAAGTGTGGGTCGAAACCCCACATGGTCCAAAGGCCCTCCCAAAATATCTGCTAGTGAGCTTGACCTCTACCTGAAATTTCTTTGAACGCCACTAGGTACACCCTTATGTTAACAAGATTGATGGTTTCTTATTGTGTATATGCATCACAACATGTAGTACCTGCGCCGTAGTTTGTGAGATGATTGAATCGGGTGTGCCAATGTGTTCCATCCACATGCTTCCAGCTTGTGTGTTGCTGTTTAAGATCAGCAACAATGGACATTGTATCTCTGCCTGAAGAAGGCTGCTCTCCAAAAAGTGTTTGATCAACTAAGGCATAGAATATCTGATAAAATGGCAAAGAAATGCATAGATCATAGGTTAGTTGATGACTTGAATTCTATAAGTGTTTTTTTATACAGCTTTAATAACAATACCAAACCCTAAAAATCAAACCTGACGTTGTAATTCTGTTGCAGAAAACATATTTTTTGCTTCAACCATTGATTTTACCAATTCTTTTGGAATGACATCATTGGTCGAATAGTGTTTAGCAAATGTGCTTAGAACACGATAATCCAGTGCGAAGTGCCTATACCAAAGTAAATTACATCATTATGGACAACTAGAAACAATAATGCTTATCGCAGCCAATGCAAATCTTGTAGCACCACAGTAAGCATGCAAGGAATATTGCACTTAACTCATCCAATCTTTCTCCATATTTCACACAAGTTTACCCCAAATTTTGTTTTAGAATGTGTTAGGTACAGATAAATTCATTTTCAGGGAAAAAGAATTTCCATGGAAAAGATTTTCCCAAAGAAAATAGGTTTTCCATTACATTTTCTAATGTTTGACAGACATCAAGAAAATAATTTCATTGGCAAGCTGTATTCTCTATATTTGTCCAAAAGCTAACATTACATGCGCACGAAATAGTTTTGCAAAACACATCTTCCTAAGGAGGTGAAAAAACGGATATTGAAGTCCCAGATTCTCAACAAGATTTTCCTCTACTCAACAGAAAACAATTTTCCAATGAGAAATTTCACCTCAACTGCTTTTCCGAGAATCATGTGGACCAAACACTGCCTTAATCACTAAATCCTTTCCACCACGCTTCCACTAATTTCACCTATCAACCTTACAAAAGGCAATCATGTACCACCCACATGACCATATTAGTCAGACTTTTTTATCCAACTTAATCGAAACAAAATTTGTGCCCTAACTCGTACTACAAAACTGAATTACAGTATTCATAAATTATTTCCTCGCCACATTCATATCGTTTCAGGGTATAAAAATGAGCATGGGCTCAGTACACTTAAACGTCGTCGCAATTAGAGCTTTTGAAATGAAATTTTTCGATCATATTCAAGTAGGATGAATGCAAAGTGTTGACAGTTGGCAACCATTAGTCAAAATATGAATAATGTTCAAAGTATGTATGTAGTATATACGCACTCAAAGAGCGTCGAAGGCGTTTCGGCAAAATCAAGAACAGCTCTAGTCCCTGAAAAATGTTGATACTCCTAAACAAACAATCACATGCCAAAATCATTTAGTATAATGTAGTAGCTTAACCAATGCCCGCTAGAGAGAAAATCATTTCAATACCGTTCTTGAAAGTAACGAATGAAGAGCATGCCCAAATTCATGAAAAAGTGTTTCTACTTCTTGTTGGTTAAGCATCACTGATGTTGATTTTGGACTTGAGAAATCACAAACAAGGGCAACAATCTGCAAGTTAACATGCATATATAAATATTCTGAAGAGTGAAAATGCATATAGAGAAAAAACAGAACTACAAAAGATGTTTATTTACAGAAGCCTATAATTGTAAAATACTTTAATGAATAGCTAAAAAGAGTATATCTATCTTACATACAGGAAGTTGGTACTCTGTATCAGAAACCCAACGTCCTCCTCTGATGGCAAAATGGGCACATATAGGATCTTTACCCTTTCTTGACTTCAAATCAAGGTATAAGTAACCCAATTCACCCTGACATTTATATTTTGCAAGATCAGCTCAAGCATAAAAAGGTGGTAACAACTTGAAGTAAAATCAATTGTTATATAATGGGGAAAAGTGCACATATCTAAACAAGGTAATTACAGAAATGCACAACATAGCAAAAATGATGCAAGGGCATATGGTTTTAGGACTACATATAATCCCTGAAGGTCATAAACATATAAGAGCAAAAAGAAAAATAAAAGACAATATATCTAGGAAGGAACAACTAATATTGACTCCAAAAATATACAGGGGAAGAAACAAAGCAGAGAACTTTTGGTAAACCCAAATTTAGACAGACAGAATAAGTTTGATGGATCTTAAAATTGCAATACATTAAACTTTAGCAGTATAAGTATTCTAAAGAATGCTGCCAGCTCTTCTTTGGCTAAGTTGGTTTGGTAAGAGATTTTCAACTGCTAAGTCAAAGTTCAAAGCTCGGTATTGGAGAAGGATAAGTATTCTAATGATTGTTACCTCATTAGGATGTTGTAACAATATTTTGATCACATCTGGATGCCATGATTCAGAAGGTGCCAGAGGAATATGCCGAAAAGTCACGCCAAAAAGTGACTCAACCAAAATCTTTAAGCCCTCAATACAGCGCTCTAAAGGAAAATATGACGTCACAGCCTAATAATTGCACCAACAAGTGAAAATATTACATAAGAATGTGTAGGAATAAACACCGTGCAATATTCACACATCTAAATTGGCAAGAATTGTACAGAAAATTAATTCAGTTGTCATCATCATCATCACTTTAGTCTCAACGAGGTGCAGCCGGTAGTATTAAATTTATAGTGCTAATCAATTGTATGAAATTACTTAACACTGTAAATTGATGCCAATAGAACCTAGTAACAATGTGTTATGCCGGATGCCCTCCATGTACCCACCTTCTAAAGATGGAACAATGAGATAAATATAATAAAACCACCATCGTCATAACTTATTTACTAATTACAAGTGCATGGAAATTATCAGGAGATAACAACGAGTTGATATATTTGCTATTGTCATGTCCATTGCATGATTGGTATTGCAAAACCAACATGTTAATCATGGAACATGATTATACCAAAAAAAAATCGACTGTAAGTAGAAGTAGATAAGCACTGCTTATAAACCAAAATTAGCTTTAAATGAACATCAGTTACCACATCAGAGGGGAGCCTTTATTATCCTAATATCCCCGATAGAGTTAATTGAGTCTACTGGCAAGAATAGAAATAGAACTACCACTGAAGTACTAGTCTACTACTAGAGTACTGGACTAGAAAATCACTATCTGAAAATATAACAATCTCTTGAGTAGAAAAGGGCTTGCTTTATTGTATTGATGTGAGATATAACATTATAACCAGAAGTATATTTAAAAATAAACTGGAGCAAGCAATGGGAGAAGCTGTTGGTTTGGAGTGCGAGCAACTTAGCATATTGTAATTTGGAAAACATGGATAAAGCAATAATCACCAATTCACCAACTGTTTAGTTTATTGACTTGGGTTGACTAAGCCAATGCTTGCAAATAAAGGTGACTGAAATTTTTCTATATTCAAGTCCGAACAGTCTGTTTTATTTAAAAGATTTTCCTCCACTAACATAATCAATGATTAAAGATGCTGCATCCCAAACCAAATTTATAATTCCGGAGGTCAAGAGTTTGAGAAATATCCCATCACAAGAACAATTGGTTGCATGTCTCAAAAAATTTGGTTTTTAGAAGCAATAAAAAATCCTAGCCCATAACAACAAGAAAAAACCAAAACTTGTGAAAAGACAGACCAACCCTTAGTGCAGAAAGTTGAACTTTATAAGAAAGAAGGGATGGCAGAAACAAAGTTACTCCAGTTACCAAGGAATTCATGTTGTATGCAGATGACTTCATCAACCATGTGTAGTATCCCTCATCCCATGGCTCTAAGTCTATACTCTGTTCACAACTCTTTATTCTCTTAAACTCCTTGATTGCCTTAAGTTCCTATACAAAACAGCATGCCCGGAGTACAAATTATACACGCTGTACATGAAGAATAACTGCAGGAGATAATTTAAAAGCTTGAAAAACATACCTTGTCAGCCTTGGCTCTAACCACTTCGCTCATCTCGAGCAAAAAGGAAACGACTACTTCTGGAGATGCAGCCATTGTTGAATGTAGAGCAAATGCAGAATAGGATTTATAGCCCAGAATCTGCATGCTAGCTCCACAAATAATGATAGAAAGAAATGTGTAAACAATCGAGCAGTTGGTCAAAAAATGGAAGCAATGACAATTTAAGTGCCTCATTAAATGCACAATAAGTAGCCAAGAAATATTCTGAATTACAATGGGTATGGAAGGCGTGAGCACATGTATCAATGGGAAAACTGCAGTTCCTTTTGATAAGTAATATACTCCCTCCGTCTCAAAATGATTTACCTCTTTACTACTACGGTTTCTCGATAACTTTTGTTGCATGTTTTCATTGACCATTTAATAAAATAAAGTATTCTTGTCACCTTGTTTTGTAGAACTTTTGATGTAGTTTTTAAATATATAGTTTTGTTTTTTTATTTCTATACCAATTTGTAAATAAAATCATTTTAAAAGCTACGGGATTTTACACGTTAAACAGAGAGTGCAGTTCATTTTGGGATGGAGAGAGTATAAGTTGAAGTATATGGTGTGTGTTGTATTCTGGAGAGCTCTCAAACCACCCTAGATTGTCAAAGGAATCCTTCAATAACTCTACCACATACACTTTTTTGCTATTGGTTGTCTCCTAAGTGATGGTGCCTATGTATAGTGCACTGGGAATGATCTCATCAGGTGTGCCTGACCAATCTTGACGGCCACGGATGCTCCAAGCCTTCATATCAATTGACTAAATAAAGATTTAAAGGCCGGGAGGATTCGTGCTTCACATAATTAGTGAGGTGTGCTTCATGAGATTATTCATCTATAGTGCACCCTTTCTGTTAATAATCTATCATTTGGCCTTAGATAAGAGCGAATGGAGAGCTAGGATTAGAGTAATTGTGTAGGCGCCTTGGGCTCGAGGGTAGTTGTCTGTACTTGTCCTTGTGTCATTGTGTGCTTTCTATGCCTTGAATGCTTGGTACAATTTGATTGCAGTACTTTGCCTTTGTTAAGAAAACAAAATGATATACCTCTTTATTGTGAAACATAAAATGAAAAAAAATAATTGGCTCACTGCTGGTGTGCTATTAAATAATAGATGGGAGTTTCTACATTACAAATCAAAAGGGATGGAACAATCAAAATTTTCTTGTTACCCCCACTACATTTTGTGAGTAATAGTGCTATTTAAGATGTAGCAATTCACATTTCATACATGATCATTGATTTCTATATCATAAAAGAGCAGATCTTAGGTGTACAACCTGAGCAAATTCATGGCGAGCTGCAATTAGCTTATCAAGAACTGTAATATTTTCATGTGGGGAAGAATTTCCCTGGACATATGCCATCTTCCTTACCTGTACACAATTCACGGAAATGACAAAAAAATAATTAACAATGTGGTTATCTCAACTTCCACCTCTAGTAACAATGTCTCAATGCAAAGAATCGAAGGTTATAAACTTATAAATGATAAACCCAGGAATATATTGAAAGGGAAGAAAAAAATTCACAGGAGAAGAAAAATTCTAGGTATGAAAAAGAAGAGCAGCTATGATACATCCAATCAAGGAGTCCAGCAGATCATCAATTTGGTGTTATAGTTGCTCAAAGGCTTCTTGATACACTCTAATGATTGTGATATTCTCGGGGAAAGATAAGCCTTTGGAAGAGTCAGCATATTAGGTGTGGCCAAAATGCATTCGAAGAGCCCAAACTAATTCTACCCAACCAGTTGGCCCTCTTTGCTTGATCATTGTATTGCCGAACCCTCCAAATTTTTGCTTCGGAGCTAGTCATGGAGTTGGATTTCTAGAATTTATGAGGTGAATGATTCAATCAAACAAGCATTCATTTTGGTGCCGAGTCCATCCAGATGACATTCATGTCGTGCAAGTGTCTGCTGACATCAATACAAAGCTCAGTACTGACCTCTCCATAGGTATCCATGAGCTCTAATACCATTTGATCAACACAAGAACAGGGGAATATGAAGAATTCTAAGGAAAAAAGTTCCACCAACTCTAGTAGATAAATGTACATCC